GTTTTTACCGGGAGACCTTGAAAAACCTTGAGCCAACAAACTGTTCGATGAAGCAGTGCACGTACAAAATAAACGAGAAGAAGAATAAAACAAGGTGTAGCATAGTTCTCAACAGAGATGTCTGGCGTAAATACTCATTTTCTTAGCTTTTCAGCCCCGTTTAGTGATTCTGGTGCTGACGTGTCTGCCGGCTGGTTATCAAACAATGCTGTTTAAAAAAAACATGACTTCTATGGTAGAGAACAAAAAAAAAGGAACGCAAGAAAGACACACGGCAACACCTGGCGCAGTGTGGCTTTCTTGTGTCCCAATTATTGTTTATTTTGTTTTTTTACTTGAGTAATGAGTGAATGCGATACAAACAAGCCCCATTGGCAACTTTAGCCGTTAAAGAACTGCAGCCGAGAATTTTTCGGATAATACCAACAGAATATCCTATATATTTAGCTTTCTAAGCTTCGTCAGACTACAAGTACGAAAGTGCACTGTAAATATTGAGTATAAGCTTTGCGGTATTGATTATAAAGAATATTTAGAGCTCAGCGCAGCGCACGTGTAGTAAAATTCTCAGCTTACGGATCGACGGAATTGTATCAACGCTTACCAATTCGCAATGTCATTCGGGTGCTCAAGTTTGGCAACTGAAGCGTCCTCAGTGACGACTAATCGATGAACGCATCTGACGGCCGTATGTGCCGAGTAATCGTTTCCTTTTTGGCTGTAATCGAGGATCCCGGTGCTGTTGCTGCGTGTCTTGAATCTCAATGCGGAATCTTTTTCGGGAGGTCGCTGAGAATTATGTTCCACTGGCACTCGAGCGATGCCCGTCGTCTGTTCGGAAGCGCACTGCCAACCCACCTTCGCGCAGCAGACGCAGAGCACAAGTTGTAGCGAGTGAACTGAACGTATGCATTCATGCGTGGCTTTCGTCCGATGTACCATGTGCAAGAAAGAAGGGGTATAAGAAGAGAGCGTGACACATGGCTTCAGAAAAATAAAGCAAAAAAAGGTGAACTCCACCACTATGCCTTTCGCAAGTTCCCAAAGCCTTTTTCCCTCATTAGACCATGGCGTCTTCTTCGCAACTGCACGTTTCGCATGTCAGTCGTGCTTGCTTGGGGTCCCTGCATGTGTGCAGTGCGGGGTGGCTGGCGACCATGCTGGCGGCGCACACGCTATAAGCCTTGCTCAGAAATGCAGGAACCACAGCGTACGTATATGTGCTTAAGCCACAGTGTAAGAGTAGTTTTTACACCGTGGCTTAAACTAATATCGCCTTGTGCTTCTGCTGCAGAGCCTCCGTGGTTTGCGGTCGCTTTGACGAACGAGCCGCGCGCAAAGCCGCCTTTCTTTTCGGCACTCCAGTGCTCATTGTACGTCTGCTGTCTAGGAGAAAACGCATTATCACCCTTCTCGAGACACCATTTGCCTGCGCAAGCCCCGTAGAAACCCGAAAGCACGTGTTTCGAAGCGCCTTCTCATCATTAGAACTTTGAGCGGGCATTTTTCCGACGTTTCGGAATGCATACGGTCCTTCTTTAGAGTTCAAAGTGGGGAGGCACGAACCACCCGTTCCTAGCCTCGGTTGCGACAAACACATTCAAAGTGTGAAAAGTCAGCGAGACTTCTTTGCTTTTTTAAACACTATAGTCTTTCCTGGGGACCTTGAACGGAAAAAATTTGGTCTGTCTGTCTGTACATTTTTCTGTTTGTCCACCTTAACGATACCTCAAGCAGCATCAAACGACCAACCCCATTCACAGCGCCAACCAATATTGCCCAAGCTTCCGCGTTCATAGTTGTGCGATTGTCAATTAAAAAGCAATTGTTGCGCATATCTGAAGCGCCACAACAACACGTTAATGTTTTGTATGCGTGCCTTTATACTAGAAGAGCACACACAAGTAATTATAAGGACGGCAGCGTTTATCTCACTGCGCTGACAGTGCAGCGTGATGCTCAAAAAGGTAAGTGTTTGCAACGCTCTGCTAAGACGGCCGGTGGTGGCACCTGCCCGTCGCTTTGCGTTCTACACCTTATAACCTCCGAGACAGGCACGCATCTTTCTCCACGGGCGCGCACGCCTTCGTTTTCGAAGATATCTGCCAGATGGCGCTCGTGTCTAACGTGCCTCGACGCGCTCGCTCGCCTTCGTTGCACGCTCAAGGCACCCTAACGCAGTGAAAGTGGACGGAAGTGTTCTTACTACCACGCAACTGAGCCTTGCACGAATCGCAGGTTGCCCGGGTTCGCTTCAAACGGGTGATGGTTTCACTGACGCCTCGGACAACGGAGAGGTATATGTTTCTGTCATGGTGTTGGAAGGCAAAATATTGTTCCTGCATTTCTAAGATTGCATCCTTGTGTTTTTGGCTTTCAGTAAACAATCTTGGGTAACCGTTTTTGGTGAGATTGCCAATTATATTGTGTTTATTTTTTCTTTTTTAGTTGTGTGTTTCACTGAATTGCGGCTCTTCGCATTATAGCCTTTACTACTGATGTATCGCGCATTTTCGGGTGGTCTGAAGTGAACTGAGGATATCAGTTAGGGTAGGTGTGTTTGTAGTTTTATTTCAGGTTGCGAGAACATCCTAAATGACAATGAGCCTCTGTTTCAAGTGAAACTGAATACTTGTTCAATGAATTTAGTTGAGAAAAACTTGGAGGTTCTTTTATTTGAACAAAAATGCACATTTAAAGCAACTTGAGCGTAATGTCATTACTTTGCAGCTTCGTCACATCAAACCTTTAGGGCCAATAAATCAAGACCCACAGGTCGCGGGATCAAATCCCGGCTGTGGCGGCTGCATTTCCGGTGGAGGCGGAAGTGTTGTAGGCCGTGCACTCAGATTTGGTTGCACGGTAAAGAACCCCAGGTGGTCGAAATTTCCGTAGTCCTCCACTACGGCGTCTCCCATAATCGTATGGTGGTTTTGGGACGTTAAACCACACGAAACAATCAATCAAAAACCATTAAATCAAGCCTTGTGAGGCGGATAATTTAGTGGTATCCAGGCACATGAGATCTCAACCTCTAATTGCATCAGGAGCGTCCAAGTGAATCAGGTATTTGTATGAATGCAAGTCAGTGGAGTAGATTTGCACGTGTGAACCGGATATTATTATAAACGGCGAACAACACTGTGAACTCTTGTTCTGAACATACATGTATGAAAGGGTAAGAAGACAAACACCCGTTTGTAGCACGAAGCCACAAGGAAATTCATACGGACTTCTCAGAAAGAAAGCCTCTTAGTTGCCGAAAGGTTCGTCCTGGTACGTAGTTCGAACCAGGACGAACACCTATCTGAGCAGTCGCTCTGCTAATTGAGCTAACCAGGAAGCTAGCATTGGACAGTGCGAAGGTGTACTCATCGACAACTCGAAGCACATGGACCCAAGTATTACAAACGTATGCTGCAAATGTTGCTCATTTACAATACATGTAAGCAGCGTTGCATACACAGCTGGTTGAGCCGCTAGATGTAATACATCTTGAAGTGACATGCACTGTGCACCGAAGCCAATTCACGCAGATAATTGTCATATTACACAGCCCTTCTTCCACCAAGAATAAAATAAAAGAGGCCAGACTGACAACTCGTGAAAGCACCTTTTTCTTCAAAGCTGCTTAACTGTAAGTGAATGCCGCTCGAGCCACAGAGCATGCCGTTTCTGCTCTTTCAGTATAGGAGTAGATATGTGATTATGACATAATACTAGAATATATTAGGCTATTTTGCCCTCAAGGCACATCTTGCATTGAAACGACAACAACTTGAAAACAAGGCTGCAATACCGGGAAGGGGGGGGGGGGGGCGGCTTCTTGTGGGATGAATTAAAAACACGTGATTCCCGTCCCCTTCGATGCACCACTGACGTAGGTGACTCGGCGACAAGGACAATGGGCCATGTAAGATGGGGGTTAAATCATCCTCTGGGGGAGATTACAACCCCCAAACCCCCCTTCCCGTCGGTGAGTCAATGGGTGAATATCACTGGTGGTTCGTGGTATCACCGCATGATCCTCATGCTTCTCCAACCCATCATCGTTCTTCGTACAATGTGGATGTCTCTAGATTTCGGCGTGTCTGTGTGCTTTTATTTCAGTGAGACTAAAGGAAGCAAGGTGATGTGCACAAAGACCAATTGATATTTAGACAAGACCCATCTCGACAAGATGCATTGTTATACATCATCTTGCCTTCATCGAAGAATGTGTCGCTAACACATTCCGTTCTTTTTTATGTCAGACGTCGCTCATAGATTTCACGGGCTCATTTGTTCTGTATTCTACCTAGACTTCGAGAAATATTTGCACGTACGTTCTGTGTTCGGAAGAAATACAGGCATCGTCACCTGCCTTTAAATTTTGCGCATGCTCCCTCAATCAGTAGTCATGAAATCAGTGGTTTGCGATGTACTGTTTGCACGCACCGCGCAAAGGGGGAGGCATAATTCACTAACAAAATGAATTCGATTGGTTTTGTAACAAAAAATTAAGAATATGAAACAAACAGCAGAGTTTTTCAAGACACTTTACCGATCCAAATGATTAGTGTAAGCGGTCCCTTCAGAGCTCTTTGTCAGAAACTCACAATGGTCACTATGCTGCTGTACGTGATGTTCTGTCAATTGGATGTTATCAAAGAAACTCGATAATTGTCACGGTCACTGTCAAGACGTGGTGAACGTCATCTACACCTAACACTTAGTTGTCCGAGTGTCGATCCAGTTTCAGGACCACGTCTTTGGAAAATGATCTCCACCGCCGACGTCAACGTATACAGGGAGCTCGGGAGATATCCGAGTAGGTTAGTACATTGGTAGTGATCGGCTCATCTCTTCTAGTGGCCAGAAAGTGCACTCTAGGGCAGCCGAATATTTTAAGTCCGAATTGGCATCTAATATAGGGCACATCTGACAGAGAGTAGTGCCATTGAAAAAAAAAAACACTATTACGACACCCAACAGAAGTAGACAGTAAATGGTATTTGCAGGTGCTGCGGGCAAGGACGTTGTGTACGGTACAAGCGACGGCAAAGTGGGCCTTCTTTCCATCGACAAGTAAGCAACGGTCTTCCGTTGGCTGTCTCTAAGAAACCACTGGTGCGCAGGTCTCCTCATGCACCGGTCTGGGAGATCGAGAATGTCAACGGAGGTGGAAGTGAGTACGCCGAGCCACTTGTGTGTGCATGGCGGGATAACAGCAGTGAGAATTAACAAAGAGAAAGGAAAGCACAGCTCTGACACAACCTAACGAAAGCAAGGCGCATGCTGGTGTTTCAGCATGCAAACGCAAAAGAACAAATTAAAATTAATCAGGCTATAGAAGAAAGCAATACGATATTTTGCAGGCGTTCCATACGACGCTCATACATCAACATTATTTACAACATATAACGTGCTCCAAGTAGAAACACTGTACAATTTCAATCTCTTTGCTAAATACAAACATGGTTCGAAAAGTAAAACCAATTTTCTAACAATGTGTCAGCCCAAAGAGTCACCCGCAGCACCTTACAACATAAGGAAAAGAGACACATGGCAAATACCATTTTCGCAAACGAATTACGGTTTTAAAAGTCTTAAGTATATTATGCCAAACTTTTTGAATCACCTAAACAATAAACGCCTGATACACTGACAAACAAGCAGTGGAAAGAATATTTAATTAGCAACCCCAGAGAGTCTGGCAATTTGATCAATTAATCTCGAGTTCATTTTTACTATCTATTTTTTATAGTATCATATTCAATTTGATAATTCCTTTGGATAGAAGTGTATTTTTGCCTTTTCATATGCACATGTACAAACATTAACTGTTTCATGTATTTGTGTTTTCGTTATCCATACTGTTTCAAGGTAGTGTTTCTTATATATATATAAATTATGTTCGTTTGTGTTCCTTCTCAATTTGTTCTCCCATATTATGCCGCATTCTTTCAGTGTTTGCGATTTTACATTATGTCTGCAGTTAAAGTTTGCTGCTAAATTTGTTGATATTTTACTTGCTTGTGTTATGCGTTCTTGTACTTTTTCTTTTACTTGCTTGTATTTTATTTCATTTTTACATCACCACGAGTCTGCGGCCAATCTGCTCAGGGTCAGAAATCCCGTCAAGCTGCTTTTTAGCAGCTTTAAATTCCTGTCCCTGCATCTTTTTCACTTTTTAATCTGATTTACATTTTGTTTTGTGTTGACCGTTGCCATTGTATGAAAACATTGAATCACTGTACTTTAACATGATTGCTGAAAACGATTGCTAAATAAACTGAAACTGAAACTGCACATTTGAGGGAATTAGATGCGTCATTGTGAAAATTCCGGCCCCGCAGAAGCCAAAGTGTGCTTTCTCATTCACTCTACTTCATTCCAGTGCATGTCATATTTCACTGGATTTAAACTCTATGGCAGCCTCACACGCTTTCGTTGTTTGTTGGCTTCATTTGGTTGCGTCTTACAAAGCCCCTCGCCTTTGTTCTTCTTTTCGTACTGCTGTCATTCTTAATTCGCTTGACTCACACTTCTGCATAGGCATCACCTGTCTCGGTTCCTACGACATGACGGGCGACGGTGTCTTGGACCTTCTCGTTGGAAGAAACGATGGTCAAGTCGAAGTGTACTCCTTCAAGGATTCCGGTGAACCGTTGCTGCGTTTCTCCTACGTAATTATTTTCAACTCAGCACTTACATGTGAAACACTACGTGGAGAAGCGCAAGTATTCTATATTGCGCAGTGGGAAACAGAGGAGGCATGCAGAGCCTCTCGTACGAAAAAAGTACCAGGATGGACGCAACATTGTATTGTAATCATACGACATATACGATACCAAGCGTTCGCTGTAACCACTTCGCACCCTTAGGAAGCAAAACACTTTTGACTATAACCGTAATCTGCAAAAAAAAAAAAAGCAATCAGCATGTTTCACTTCAACAAATAGTTCTTAAAGGATAATTTACTCAATAAAACCTCCTTTAGGACCTACTAGCGTTATTGAGAAGTTCAGGACCCTAGGGGTTTTTGGAACGCGAATGGCCCGTACGACAGCGTGCCAAACTATAGGTGGAACCGTTTTTTTTTTCAATTTTTGAAGTTTGCTTGATATTTGGCGAGTTTTCATTAAAAGATATCTGTCCTTTTTAGGGTAATCGACAAGCAGATCATAACTTATACCTAATGCTCAAGAAATATTGATAGTATTTTATACACAACAAGAATATCCCGAACTGCACTAAATGACTGCTTACAATACTATGAATATATATACCAGATGTTCGGTGGAAGGCTGTGTAGTGCGAATGCTCTGTCAATGGGAGGTACTTTAGTCTAGCTGTTTGTTTAATATATATTTGTTTGTCAATGCTTTAAATACGCACCTAGGCAACAAAATCAGAAAAATAATTGTTTGTGTCATTGCGGGAGTACAAGCACCTTCTATTTTAACAGAGTGGTACCGCCAAATTTGTGGCATGCGTGTTCTTTGCTGAAAGCGTTTCTTTCAGCTACGGGAAGCATGATACACGCACCAAGATTTGTGTATTTTCGCTAAATAATTTACTGTTGCTCTCTTTGTGGGGATCGATATCGGTTTCGCGTCGCCGAGTTGAGCAGTGACGTCCTCAGTTTCGTCTGCTTCAGAGCATTTTCGTCATCTGTACCAAGATGGCGCGACGGCCGCGTGTTGGCCGCGCAAGGTCCCCACACATTTCTATCCAGGGACCTCAGGGCCGCGCCTCCGCTTGGCGTGGTCAAAGTGCGCATGATAGCGTCGAGGCTCCCTCGTGCGCAAGCTTACCTCGAGATGCGGCTGCCTCTTCCACCGCAAGTTTGCTTTGAAGCTGAAAAAAAAATGCCCGCAGCTTCCCTCGGGGGAACACTGAGGAGGATGCGGACCATATAATTGGTTAACGGGGTGTTAACGTGCGACTTACTTGGGTCGATGGCTAAATTGGTTAACGTGGTTGTGAAATGGGGTGTTAAATTGCGACTTACTTGGGTCGATGGCTAAATTGGTTAACGTGGTTGTGAAATGGGGTGTTAAATTGCGACTTACTTGGGTCGATGGCTAAATTGGTTAACGTGGTTGTAGGAGGGGGTGTTAAATAAGTGAACACGCACACACGTATGCGAAAGGGCGGCGCTGGTCGAAGGGACGTCGATCATTGTGTTTGTGGATTCGTTGGAATTCATTTCACCGCGACCTTGGACGTCGACGCGCCGTACAAACCAACCGACGAGCGGCAACTGAGCGAGCGAGCGCCGACCTTGAGTATATATACAGCACGACGGCGCATGCACTGTCAGCTGTTGAATGTTCTCGAAGCGCGACGCCACATGCGCGTCCACTGGAGAATCAGGAGAATTGTAGATGTCGAACGCGGTGTGTAGAGGAGGAAGGGTGCACAGATGGTGGAGGAGTGAAGCGCGCGCGGTGTGTAGAGGAGGAAGGGATGCACAGATGGTGGAAGAGTGGGCGACGGCGCGACGGCGCATGCGCGCGCGTCAGCTGTCGAATGTTCGAGAAGCGGTGCGGACGGCGCACTACAAGGCGCGAGTATAAGATGCTCCGCATCTAAAAGCCCGAATACGCGGCCGCATTCACGAAAGGATCGCGCTGCTCCCATACGAACGCGCTAAAATCGTCACCGTGGTTCGCACTTGTCCTTCATTTCGAGCGTTCTTCTCTCTGTTGCTTCGAGTGTCAAGCTGTGAGAGCTTGTACGCGCTCGTCCTGTGCATTTCGTGAGTGCTTTTTCTGCAGGAGACGTTCCCTGAAAGTTGTGGGCTACATGCCGTTCTTTGCTTGACACAGCAATTTCTTGCTGTACTCATAATTCCTTCGCTCTTGTGGCGAAACAATGCACAAAGAACGCTTAATTACCAATGAACGCTCAACGTCGGCGTAACTGAGGTCCCCAATTTCTTAGCGCGATGCTCTTTTATCCCAGCGGCCACCAACAAACATTGACTTATATTCATTCTGCGAATAAATCAGTCAGATACAGATTTGCGGCACAGTAACGTTATCCTCGTCAACCACACCATCACGTTGCGCTATGATTGTTGGAACGAGCGCCGTTCGTGCTCACTCGTCTTGACTCACTCGCTGTGTCTTTTGACTTGAGTCACTTGCTCTCGAGGTTGCATTTATTTTTCTACCGCATTTTATATGCCACGGGATTATTCCATCAAGTTGGCCCCCTGAGATCTTTGGCGTCCGTCCTTTCACGAACTACGCCATGTTTTGAAGTTTTGTATACATGTTCAAAGTACCGACGAGGTAATTCTTCAGTATTTTTCTCTAATTCAAGGCGCGACACTAAAGGGACACTTTAGTTAGTATCTTTGCCAGGGCACTTACAAAAAAACTTAAAAAGTTAGCTGTCGTCATCAAAAAGCTCACGAAAAAGCATGAGTTCCGAAAACATTATACTGCTCGAATGAAGATATCTTTCATCAGTGTGTTTCCATGGTAATTTATTACGCTGAGCTCGTAAAATGTACTGCACGCAGATGCTTACTTGCGCTCTCCATTGGCAGAACTGCGGTGAGAGTGTGACATCTGTGCAAGGTGGTGCCATCGGAAACGCCCGCTACGATGAAGTGCTGGTCACTACTTACAGCGGTGAGAAGCGGCTTTGGGTGTCGCGGAAAGTCTCTCATTGCCCCTGTACGTTTCCGCCAGGTTGGATTTTCGGTCTGTCCGCCGAGCATTCAGAGAAGAGGCTGGACCCCGACTACCTGCTCATTTCTCCAGAGTCGGCGCAAAAGATCCTCAAGTTGAAGTAGGTGGCCTTTTTGCGTTTTATACCAAACACGGCGATTGAATGAAGTCGGGTGATTTACAGGACTCATCTTTTTGTATGGCTTAAGTTTAAAGAAAACCAAAACAAACCATATCTTGTATTCATTGTTACAAGCCCTACCTAACGACGCTGCATAGCAAAAGGGATCAGCCATCGCTCCAACCCAACAATCCAGTCTGTTCGCGTGGTACGCTCGAATGAAACAGCTAGAACCTAACCTGCGAGCTTCGAATAACGTGCGCGATGCTCTTCCCAAAACGGTGACAATCATCCACTTCAGGGAACCGTAGCTCAAATGGGAAGAAGACGCACGTAATGCGAAGCGGCGGCAACTTGTGTTTACTTTGTTGATATATATATATATATATATATATATATATATATATATATATATATATATATATATATATATATATATATATATATATATATATATATATACATATATATATATATATATATATATATATATATATATATATTATCGTGTAGTAGTATATGATATATAGTATAGTATATAATATATACATCCGTACTAGAAACTCCAGAGGAGAGCTACTAGTAGAATTCGCAGAACGCAATAATTTACGGATTTTGAATACCTTCTACCGAAAACGAGGAAACCGCAAGTGGACATGAAGGAGCCCTAACGGAGAAAATAAGAACGAAATAGACTTTATAATGAGTGTACACCCAGGCAACGTGCAAGATGTGAAAGTGGTTGGCAAGGTACGATGCAGTGACCATAAAATGGTACGGTCTCAAATTCGCCTAGACTTGAAGAAGGAACGACAGAAACTGATATGCAAGAAGCCAATCAATGAGCTAGCAATGAGAGGGAAAGTAAAGAAATTCAGAGTGTCGCTTCAAAACAGGTACTCGGCTCTTAGAGAAGAAACCAACCTCAGCGTAGATACAATGAATGATAATCTGACGAGTATCATTACGGAGTGTGCGATGGAAGTTGGAAGCAGTGTAGTTAGACAGGACACTGGCAAGCTGCCACAGGAAACGAAGAATCTCATTAGGAAGCGTCAAATCATGAAAGTCTCAAGTACAACAGACAAAATAGAACTGGTAGAGCTTTCGAAGTTGATTAATAGGCGTAAGGTATGTGATGTAAGAAGGTATAACATGAAGAGAATAACATGAAAAACGAAGGAAGCATCAAAGCAGTGAAGAGGAAACTTAGGATAGGCAAAAATAGAATGTATTCACTAAAAGACAAACAAAGCAATATATATATATATATATATATATAGGTATGGGATTTGGCACAACGGGAGCGTTGTCAACAAGGATAAATATATTTATCCTTGTTGACAACGCTTCCGTTGTGCCATATCCCATACCTTCACGAAGACTAACTGGCCAATTGAATTATTACTCCCACTATATATATATATATATATATATATATATATATATATATATATATATATATATATATATATATATATATCGAACTGCTCTGCAGTCATGCTGAAAAGAATTACATGTATACGTAAACCTGAAAAGTAGTTACGGAGGCGTTACATTTCGCAAAAATTGTGTTGCGTAGAGAGCGCTTCGAAATTTGAGCAACTAGGTGAAACTGTGCAGCGCAAAATAATTTATAATATCTTATTGAATTGAGCAATTACTGCGTGAAAACTTTCTCCTTAACGATTGATTGATTTGTTTAACGTCCCAAAACCACCATGCGATTATGAGAGACGCCGTAGCCGAGAGCTCCGGAAAAAGCGACCACATGCGGTTCTTTAACGTGCCACCCAAATCAAAGCACACGGGCCTCCTACATTTCCACCTCCACCGGAAATGCAGCTGCTGCAGGCGGGATTCGATCCCGCGAACTGCAGGTCAGCAGCAGAACTGCAGGTCAGCAGCAGAACTGCAGGTCAGTACCTTAGCCACTAGACCACCGTGGCGGGGCTTCCTTAATGTCAAGGCACTTCTCTCTTTCATGACTATGAGAGTACATTGACTTTTTTCTCTTTCTTTATCTTTCGGCTTGGGGAATGATGGCAATATGTCACACGTTTGGCATCTTTTCATAAGAAGCACAAGTTTTTGAGTCAGTAACATATTTAAATTTTCTGTTTACGAAATTCTTTGTATAATATATTAAAGTACTTCGGCAGTAATCACGCAAAAAATTGCCAAAATATTGTGACAGACGTGGAAGAAGTACCATTTTGACTCATATTCCGGCTCAATTTCGGCAATATAGCATGTGAAGTAAAAGTAGGGCCTATATATTATTGCATAGTATGGTTTCTGTGTAGCCCATTCAGGAAGTTTTAAAGAAAGTGGCTTTTGCTTTAAGTGAGTGAGTAAAAACTTTACTGAACATGTCCGGCGTCATTGAGCGGGGTGGGGCTACAAGCACCCCGGCCTAGGTGACGGCCTCGAGTCCTTGGACCCGGGCGGCATCCTGGGCTTGCCGGACGGCCCACAGTTGATCGGCAAGGTCGTGGCTGAGCAGAGCCGCCTCCCATCGCGCCTCGCGGTTCGAGACCGCCATGTCTACCGGGTTCGCAGGGGACTGCTGCGCGTTCCCGGTACACTTCCACAGCATGTGCTGCAGAGTCGCTCTGGCTCCGCACGCCTTACACGCGTCGGACGTATAAATGCCTGGGTAGCAGAGGCGAAGGATCGCCAGATTCGGGTACGTGTGTGTCTGTAGTTGTCTCCAGGCAACATGCTGTTTCTTGTTTAGTTTGGCGTGGGGTGGTGGATATTTGCATCTGTTCAGTCTGTAGTGTTGCGTGATGTCTCTGAAAGTGGTCATGCGTTCCCCCCACGTCCATTTCCGCATCGCTGTCGAAGTGTGCGAGACATCGGGACTGTCGGCAGGCGTCGCAGCTTTAAGCGAGAAAAAAAAAAAACTTTCCATCTGAACAACCACAACTTAGTACGGAGCTTGCGTTTGCCTCGCCTTCACTGCATAGCGCGTCAGGCGACGTTCTAGCAGGGGCTACTCGGAAGCAAATAAAGCGTGTCATGCAGCTTCTCGTCAGTCGTTTAGTAATGTTGCTGTATGGAACGTTAAAAATGACTACACAGGCAAAATTATGGAACGGTGTCTTCCCGCTCGGACCATCAAAGGGCAAGTTAGCTGCGTCATAATCTCGGTACGCTGATTTATAATGTTGTCGATGGCTTGCGAAACAGTATGAAATCTTTGTATCTGGCTTTTGATAAAATTTGCATCATCTTGATTATAATTAAGCTCATAGTTTGGGTATAGTTTGCCTAAGCTTTTTTATGACGTTTAATGTATAGGCCGATGGTGATGGCTAAGCCTTGGTGCGCATTTATACATATTATGCCACCGCCACCGGTGACGACTCCACTTCATCACCCACACACGCGGAAACATCACCATTTCACCGCCAGCCAACATCTGCAATTCAGTCTCGAAGGATGGCCCCCAGGTGACCATTGGTTCGTAAGACGGACCTGTGGCAATCGTTACAACGGTGGCAATCGTTACAGGCAGCAGTTGTTCTTTTTTATCAAATGTGCAAATTTCAGTAGCAGGTGCAGATCCTGTCCATCTCTAGTAAGCGACAAACAGAACTGAAGTGAAACAGCGAGTATGTGAGTTGTATTCTTCTTTAACACCCGAGCTACCCTGTGTCGGCGTTGCGCAGTGGTTAGTGTGCTCGGTCAAGGATCCGAAGGTGGCAGGTTCAATTCCGCGCTGTAGCTAGTTCTCTTTTCTTTTTTACTGTAGCTTTATACATCGTTTTTATACAATTATTTTTATTATTTCTTGAGTGGCAGCTCGTAACGGTGGTTTTGACGCTGCTTCGCGCTCCAGCATTGCCGGCAAGAGCGCGCCATCCACCATCCACTCCTCCATACACCATGTGCCACCAACATTTCCAGCGCAATAATCCACCAAAATGGTGGATGGTCGAATCCACTATTCCTACGGTAGACTTTTTTCAATAGGGTTGTAGTGACTTTCTCAATGTAAGTGCGCTCTTTGTCCTGTTTTGTGACATTGCGCTTGAATGTATATCGAAGTATGTATCTCAAACATACATTGAATAAAACTTTGGACACCTATGGTATGATAAAAATATACTTTACCTCAATCGTCACATAAAGCGCCTACGTAAAAACTGTAATCTCAAGTTTAATGATACTCTTTCTTCATTTTATGCACTGAAAGTAAATTAGAAGCTAAAATAAGATATCTTATAAGAACTACAATTTTAGCAATATCTTCGCTACATTTATGAAAAATATCTACTCAGGATATAGAGGTTGATTAGCCCTGCATCGTCTATGCCCTCGTCATTTATTCTTCATGGCCAATCCTCCTGAAATTCTGAAGCTATTGCAAATACCTTCATTATTTGCTTTAAATAGTTGATATACCGATAACGACATCGCCCTTTCATTTTCCGCGTGCAGCAAACTACCTGCTATTTTAACGCGATAGCGTTAAGGAGCTCGTGTCGCAGGAAACCCGCCGCAGGCGTCAGCTCCGTTGGTTGTAAGTGAAAAATCGTCTGTGCGTCTGTGACCGAAAAATCAAGTTTTCGAGATAGCCGCGGGAGGCCGCTACTTGTCCACGCGTGCGCGCGCGATCACACTGAAAAGCCACGCATTCGAAGAAAAAAAAAAGTGCTCAAGGTCACGAGGCGCGGTTGTTTCTTTGCACTGCCACCACTTCCTGCTTAGCTTCCAGCACTTTCGTCGGAACGACACAAGAGATAATGCAATTGCAGCATGCGACAAACCATTGTAACTCCACTTGCACTCGGCGGATTCTTAAAATATTTGCGGAGTTGAATTAGTGAGGCAATAAGCTCGTATCGTGAACTTATTCCACAGTTACTTGAAAAAGTGTTTCAGAGTCCCTTTAACGCATTATGTTCGACAGGTGTCACAACAAAAACGAGCCAATTCGGTGATAATAGCGCGCTGGTCTAATCTTATGCGTGCTTGTTTGTGTGTGTGCG